AACTTCCAGCTTATTGACCATCCTTGAAATTGCGAATTAATCTCTAGTTTTTTTGGCTTATCGGAACATTAAGGTTGTTGCCGACGGTAAACTGGGGTCGACGTAATTTAGTCTTAATTAACCCAATGAAGACACATGTTTACCGTTAAAAAGAATCTCTTCGTCGTATAACCATTATTTGTAGACACTTAAAGCCTCAGCCCGTATCAGAATTCTCGTCGTTGACATATAGAGCGACGTCCAAATTCGCCGTTATTTGGAGGGTAAAGCTAAATTAGCCGCCAAAAAGCTTGGTGTGCTCAGTAAGGTGAAACGGTACTTCATACTCATACTCATACTCATTATCTCACCTCTGGCCGGGAGCTCCATAGTACCGGCTCCTTCCTTTTGATCGCTTCCAACGCAGGGCCGCTCGAATCGCTATGTGCTATGATGAATTGTTCGGACTAATATCTACAGCTAAATTCCATCATCGAGACAGAATGCAAAATTCCGCCCTTTCCAAGTTGCCGCCTGGCGTTCCACAACACAGCGCTTTTTATTTCACGCACCATTAGTTTTTAAAAGTAACAACAAAATATGGAAGGTCGGCAACACACCCGCTAGCCGCTAGGTGCCCATGGGCGGCGGTTATCACATTATTAAAAGTGCTGCTCTGCTCGTTTGCTTCCTAATAAAGTACAAATGACTGTTCACGGCGATGCCGGCGGATTTGATTATAGCAAAAAGAAATAGAGTGTAAATTGTAAAACTGTAATTATATTTAAAGTAAATAATAAAATTATGTAGGCAATAGACTAAAAGCTTAAAAATAATTCGGTAGGTTCTAGGTACCAGTTATCACACCATTCTCCCCTCTCACTGTTCAATCTAGGGCATTAATCAAACAAAAAGTGGCCTGCGTAACTTGAGTAAATATAAATACATATATAGCATTTAGTAGCATTTAGCGGTTGACTTGATAGAAATTTCTCACACCCAACGATTTCATTTCAACAACTTTAAAACTGTTACTTAAAAAAAAAACATTTTTTGTTTTTTTATTGTGTTACTTACTTCTCATTCCTTTTAATTAATTCAATGCTTTTGCAATTCAACGCCATTTTTAGAGTGGACTACTATTAGTTATAGATTAGTTTTTCAATTCGAGTTAATCAAAGTTCTAAATATGTGACACCAACTATGCCTGGAATGTAGTGTGGTAGCCGGGTACTGAGTAGCAGTTCGTACGCCGGGATCCGGAAATCAGTTTGGTGATCATTTTTCTATATTAATAAGCGTGTAAGTTATCAGCCTTCTGTGCCTGACACACACCTTCTATTTTCGGGTCTAAAGCATGCCGTAGTTTAAAACAAATAGAATTTGTGTAATCGGAATTAAAGAAACCAAAATAGTCAATCACAACTTTGCACTAGATTTTTTTTTGCTATCAATGCGTGAAAATATTGTCTTTCTGCTACTTTAAATGTGGCTTTAGACCCAAAAAACGGCGTATCTTAGACTCAGAAGGCTGATAATGTACTTGTTATGTATGTTAAAATAATAAATGATAAGACAAAAAAGTCTCATGTCACTGGTTCTTTTAATTTCTCTCAACTAATCTATGCATTGAGCTCTTTGTTAACTGCAGTAATTACCCATCACACACTCCAATGAAATATCAGGTAAACAGTTAAAGGTCTGTAAAACGTTTTTCAGTTTACAACTTTTTGATTTGAACAATTCTGGAACGGTTGAGTTCCAGTCAATACAAGCATCGGGTAAAAACAAATAGCAGCCGATTAACAAGTTCGTTCCGTTCATAGTTTGAAATCTGACAGTAAATGTTAAGTACTTTTGTTTTCCTTTAAAAAATCCATATTTTTGATTTTTCAGCCCCATACAGCCTGTGAACATAATGCTGTTTCATCAATTAAATTAAAGTGACAAATTTATAGTGCGTTGACTAGCTATAGGTTATAAAAGGTAAAGCAATAGGCACCGACCCCACCGTTGCACCGAGGGGGAACATGCAATACACGTTCATTGCTTATTCGACTCCCTTATTGATTAGTCAGTATGAAACATGTTTTAGTAATGAGCAATGTCAATCATTCACGGGGTCAAGCGTTGGAATTACTTTATGCGGACGGCGGAGGGTATCGCTCGTGTTGTGGAGGAAAATGTGTGTCAACCGCCATGTCTTGAAGATGACAACGACGCAGTCTGTCAGGCATTTTTTTTATAGGTCGCCTTACATGTCATACTATTTTTACACTGAGCCCTTGCTACAGCTGCCGAAAATATTACCGTAAATACTTTTTGCTGCAATAACGCCAGGGAGTGTTCACACTCACTCTTTTCTTCTTATACCGATTTTTCTACGGAAAATACGTTATTGCACAGGATGCAAATGCACAATAATTCATAGTAAGAGTCGAGCTACTTCCCACATGATATCAATGCTCTTGTCGTATAGATCTGAATAGATTTAGACGACTTATTCAACTTGAGTAATAATACTAAAGATAAATAATCCAACACAGGAATGAAATTGTTAGAAGTTATGAATGCGGTGTAATTTTTATCAAGACATTGTTGTCTTGATAAAAATTAGCTTTGCAATGTCCTCTGGCTGGTGCCCGAGGACATTGCAAAGCTAGTTACACAGGAAATTGTTTTTTATCATTTTACGTTAGCTTCTTGACATAACTTATCAAATTTCCTTTTCGAAACATGTGAATTTTTTTATGCTCAAGCCCATGTTCATGTGTCAGAGATTCGCTTTGACTGCGACACTGGCAATAAAAATTGTATGAAATCGGATGTTCTCGACGGGAAAATTTTACATATTATTAAATGGCTTTTAACATAAATATTATAATATATATCAAATTATATCAGACTGAACAATACGTATTGTTGAATTGAAGTAAGCAAAAGTAACGTCATATGTCTCATCTATACTTAGATATTTGAGTTTTAGTTGAGTTATAGTTTAGGGAAATTCAGTCGAAGTAGATAGCAATTTGTGGAGCAAACTATATTGATAGTTGCGTTTGTTTAAGAAGCTCAAAATTTTATCTCTTCCCTCGTTACATACGAGAATTTTGATTGGATTTTTTAGAAATGTCTTTATTAGTTCCCAAAAAGACAAAAATATTTTTGTTAAGGGGAATGCACAACTGCCGAATTTAGTCATGGGGTGAAATTGGTTATGGCAAAAATTAGGAAAAACACCTTTTCATACAAAAGGTCAATCAAGGTTTATAATAATTTACCAAGAAGATTTCCATGGGCTAATTAATGCGATGATTCGTAGAATGACTATGTTTTTTTTAGTTTTGATATTTTTATTGACCTGCGAACATAATAAGAATGCCAATCCCAAAAAAAACATGAAAAAGTAAAAATATGAAATAAATAACATTAAAAAAATTCAAATGGTCTGCTTTCGGAATATCAGTGGCCAGGATGTTTGTCTCTTGAGTTTTTTATAAGCAATATAAACAACAGTAAAAGGGGCAGACTCAATCAAATGATATAGCAAACTTTTTTTGTCGACACTTTTGAAGCGAATAGAAAACGCAGCGCTACCATGGTGGCAGACTATTTTTCTCTGCTCGTTCGTAGGGTTTTTTTAAACGAACACTGCAGGTCTGACAAGCGTTCATTTCATTTACATTTTTTAATTTTTAAAAATTCTTTAAAATTTAATAACTTGAAAAGTCCTTTTTGTTTTTCATTTTGACAAGGTCTCTAAATAGCCGCCTTAAAGGCAGACAAAGGAAAATGATAAAGTATATCTCTTTTTTTTAACATTTTTAAGGGAGTGTCAATTGACAACGTAGCGCTACGATGTTTGCAGACGTGTTCCTTAATATTCCTTATCGTATAATTATCGTTATTAAAAATGTCTGCCATATGAAGAAATCATACAGATATTCATCAGTTCCCTAGCTATAAACTTCCTGGTAAGGCCGAGTATCAATTATTCATACAAATTACAGCAATCTAGTTTGACAGCGTCACTGGTCCCCAGAGTAAGGTATTTTTACAAACGATTACCTCCACAACTTAATGATATATGTATTTCTGTACCTATTAGGTCTATTGCATGTTATCGCAACATTCGTCGTTATCGTAACATTCGTTATGATTCACTTTGACAACAGATTGATAAATAACTTATAGGCTAATTGTTTAGACTACGTGGGACTTAAAAATCAATATTCATAAATCCATATTGTACATTTAAATCTTCCTGATAAATTATACAATATACTGGTGAATCCAATCAACCATATGTTTTGGTCGTTTTTGAGGTCGTCGCGTTCATACGGTCAGACAGACACGGCCGGGGGGAATTATACGAGGAGGAAATATATGTATGGATATAACTATTAGCTAGTTTATCATAGGAGTTACTGTTAAAGAATTTGTTAACAGTAATAGCTTGCTCTAAGGGCAGGTTACATCAAAAATATCCTGAGACTCGACTTTAACAAATATACAGTTTTGTGTCTAATTCATATAATTTCTTAGTATGGATTGTTTAATTTATTTTTTCCACACGGAAAAACAGTGTTATAATTAATATTATTAATAAAAAGTTACTAGATACTTCTCTAATATTCTTTCTTACCGCTTTTCTTTCAAAACAGCTAATAAGAAATTTAAATGCATTAGTATGATTTGTAGGAAAATTTACAGACATATGTTTTTTGTTGTCTTAAAAAATTGTACAAAAGTTTACCCGACATTAAGAAATTATAGTCGTTTTTTTTTAATATAATGCCAATGGTGGCGTTACTGATTAGAATGCCTTTATAAAGATAACTTAATATAGCATAACAATGACGAAGCCTATTGAATACTAATATCAGTGTGAATTAGGACTAATACCGCTTTTGTTACCGCATTTCTATTATTTCTCAGTACATACGCAGAATTAGCGTGCAAATTAATGTGAAACGTATATCAATTGTGATTTTGATGTTGTTTTGCGGACCATCGAATGTTTATAATTGCAAACAATTTAAGCCTTGCATTTGTTGTATTATTTTACTGTGCAAGCGGGCAACAGGTGAACCAGATGTTGATGACCATGGACTCTGGTCATCAAACTCCATCAGACTCCCACAATGCCAGAAGGCTCGCGACCGTAAGGAGACAGGCGGAGAGGTTTTAACATATTTCTGATCGAACCACCAGTGTCTTGGAGTCAATTGCCTCTGGTCATCTGTGTAAGATATACATACAGGCACAGACAATGCCACCAGTTGAGCAACCGCGAGGAAGCCGTACTGACAGCCCCTAATGAGCTGACGTTCTAGACGTTATACCCGTTAATAATATGGTTATTAGGGGATAGTTGAACGCGACAGTCCAAAGCTTCTATTTCTCGACGGTGTAGTTCAACGTGTCATTCTCTGTCAAAACGGAGTAAAATAATAATTTGTGCTTAGATAGCGGGTCACCTTACAAAACAAACTCTTCTTTATGATATTATTATAGGAGTAAAGTAATATTTTTAACACTTAATAAAATATATCAACTGTGTGGATTACGTGTTGAATTATGTTAAATATTATTGAAGTGAAACTTCTTTAGACGCATGAGGGTAAAATGTTTACGGATGAAACGCAATAATAATAATATTAGTGTCACGAGGATGTGCAGCGTTTTTGTCGAAGAAAAGGGAGAGAGCGATTGAGACCGATTGAAGGAGAGTGAGAAAGGGCGAACGTAACATGAAGCAAATAGCCATGGAGCGAGAGTAGGCAAGCAAGTGAGAAAGATCAAGGCAGAGAGTGAGATAGAGCGAAAGTAGCATCACGCATAGTGCCATGGAGCGAGAGGTGCGAGAGAGCTATAGTGAGAGAGTAAGGGAGATCGAGAAAAAATACACGCTATTGGTTGATGTATTCGTTTAGTAGCTACATATTAGAACTTTAGATGGTAATTCTGTCGAATAACGTCTTGTGCAGTAAACCCAGATTTTTTATATTATCATTAGCACGTATACAGTGTGTAAACAGTGTGAATATAGGTATACAAATACATGGAGTGATCATATCATCTATTTGGGCCTTAGTAATAATTCATTTACAAAGAAGTTTCACTTCTGACATGTGTACTTTGTACGCACGCACTTTTTTATGTGAATGTATGTATATTATTATAAAATGATTATTATGTATTTAATACCATGAAATCGTTAGTGACCGAGTTAGCCAGCTGGTTAGCTCTCGAGTTCTATTGGATCAAAGATAACTGGTTAAATGTTAGATAACATAATGATTGGTGGACAATTGTAAAGATAATGTTATCGATTTTATTGATAAGACGCAAAGACGATAACAGTTATTCGTCCGTTAACTTAGCGTGTAACGTTTGTGGGGACATAATTATTTTGCTGATTTTGTCTACTATATATTGGAGTATGCGGAATTTTTAGTGCTATCCTATCGAGTAAAACGAAGGTTTTTTTCTATTGGTATGAAACTTTTCAGTGATACATATTTGATAATACATTACCGTATTAACACATGTTTATAGTTTAAAATATAAAAGTGAGAAATTCCCGCGATTGTTGCGTACAATTCGGTTGATGTATAAAATAAAAAAATATAGTTTTTTTTTAAATACCGTTCCGAGGTTAGTACAATTTCGTATAGAGCAGTGGAAGATCGCGATTAGTAGTTTTTTGTGTAAGGACAGTGAAGAAACATTAATACATGATGTATAATATATGTCTCAAATATATATATATGCACGTCGGTTTAATAAGACAAGACTATTACTTTACATAATAATATAATACTAGACATTTCGACTATGTGTTTGCATGTTGTTCCCACGAGAATGTAAGTGCGTGCTCCTACTTCACCATGCCTCCTGCTGATAGAGGACAAGTCTTTGTTTTTAATTTATGTTATTATTATTTATTACTTAAGATGTAATGTGGAACATGGTGTTATAGTTGCAGCTCCTTACTTAAAAAAAGTGTGTAAAACATGGCGATTAAAAAGAGTGGCGGAGAGTTTATTGCCAGTTCTTCTCTTCCGTTCTACGGCCTTGTTTTGAGAACTGTATATGTAGAGTTAGAAGCATTTCATATACATTTCTTTTTTTGACGTTCATAAGTGTACACTGTGTTACCTATATGATTAAATCATTTTTTTACTTTTACTTTTAAGAACGCTGACTAATGACGCAATGTAACACATAGAATACGGGTCAAATATACTCCTTAGTGTTTTTTTAACTCAGAAAAATAGTCTTTTAAAAGTAACTTTAAGTTTCATAAATTTTATATTCTAAAATACCTACTCGTAGTTTTCAAGCCTAATAAAATGGTGGAATAAATTTAAACGAAAATGTATTAAATGAGCCATATTACCTAATTAATTTTAACACTAGGGAAGTACAGTAATACGGGCGATTGGCTGCCGTTATTAAAATTATGAAATTGATCAAAGGTTATTTACAACATTTCTCTCTTTGATGTTTATTTGAGAATGATCGAACTGCTGACCAAAAATTAATTGAAATACTACATTGCTTTCGTTTATTTTAATTTAATATGCATCTACTCGGAATGTGTTCAATCAATTAGAGTGTAGTTGTCAAAAGGATAATTGATATGAAATAAGTGAAATGCGCGAATTTATTAATTAATTCACTCATATTCAGCTTCACGCTCAGGGGAAAATAATAGACTATTTAATAAGATATATATCGGAATAAGTACACGACATAAGCTTTCATAATTCCCTTTGACGTATAACGAAACATTGAGTGGTAATGGGTCTTTTATATTTTGCATACGAAATTCAATATTGAGAACAGAGACCCAGGGGGATGGTAGAACGAAAGATTAACGATTATGCATTCCGTTTGATTGTACTTTTTACCAACATTTAGTCCGTTCGTCCAAAAACTAAGGCAACGTTTTTGCTTTAGCTTCCTTATCTTAATTTAAAGATAAGGAATTTCACCATTAACAGAAATCGCTACTACAACCTTTTAGGTCTGGACCTCAGATTTAAGTATCTGTATCGTGATCATTGGTTTTTTAAAAGGCAAATTTAGTTTGTAATGAATGTGATTTAATGGACGAACACTTACAAGTTAGGCATTTTTATCAGTAAGGGGTTAGTGATTTTTTCAATAACTTTCAAAGTTTTTAGCTGTCAAACTTATTAAAGAGAAAGCGTAAATCTTAATCATCTTAGCCGGGTTTTGTTTTGTTTTGTTTTGTATTATTTTCTAACAACTGTCTCAATATTGTATAAATAAGGGAAGTAGCGAGCCAACCCCAACACAAGTGTCTCTGACTACTGTCCCAACTCATGTATTTAATGTAAAATTTGAGACACAAAAAACATTTTTGTTTTTAAGTTACGTGATGCCCACATTTACGTCGTTTTAAAAATATTTGTTAAACACAATTGAGTTCTTCACTCTGTAGCCTAATAATTTGTTTTTATTGTTTGTTCCAGCTAAGATGGCGCCTGGCTGCGGCCGAGGCATTTGTTGTACTTTGCCTCGGAAGAGGCTCCTAGTATGCATGCTTCTGTTGCTTGCTGGAACTCTTTGTACCATCGGCATTGTCACCTCAGGCTATTGTAAGTATACCTCAATTTCGTTAGTTTAGTTAATAGAAACCGCAGTCGCACTTATATTTACCAAACAAATAGCAACCAGACGGATTCTCTTGAACTTTCTTTGGCTTGAATTCCATTTTGATTTTCAAAATTTTACATGAAATTATGATGGCCTATATTCATTTAAACTTACTATATTTATTACTCATAGTTTCGCCAAAGCAATATTCACAGAGTAATAAAACGTTTTAAAAATCTGCGTTTTCTAATTTAATTTCTAAACTGGCTTAAGTCGGAACTTGAAATTTGAAGGCGAAAATATTGACGCAGCTCTCGATAAATTTCTTTTTAAATATCGCAACTGTGAGCACGCCACAACTGGCATTTCACCGGCCGTGGCGTTGCAAGGGCGTCGTTTACGTAGCCGTTTAGACGCAATACGACCGGACGTGGCCGCCACTGTTCGGGATAAGCAAGAGCGGCAACTCGCGAAAATACCGCGTGCTCAGCGAGAGTTTGAAATTGGAGAGACAGTACTTGCAAGAGATTATAGGCAAAGAGGGGAGAAATGGGCTTCAGGAAAGGTGGGTAATAGGACGGGCCCGGTTTCTTATAAAGTTGATTTGGGCAACGGTATTGAGTGGCGTAGACATGCAGACCAAATTATTTCAAATAAAAACAGATTTTCAATGTCACGCACGAATACAGTGGTTGTCTCAGAACAGGAGGGTAATGATGGGCTAGGGTCTGAGATGGTGGAGGTTACAACTGAAGATAGTGATCTTAATAAAACAATCAACAAATCAGATGATCAAGCGTGTCAGGTGGAGTCTCAATCAACACAGACCCTGTCCGAGTCCTCTCAGGAACTATCGGCTCGAGCATTGCGTGCTTTAAAGCGAGCTAAAAATAATAGTTGATAAGTTGTTTGTCATGATTAAAGATTTTATTTTGGTTTAGATTATTAAGTACTAGGTTATGTAAATTTTGTAATATTTCTTGTATTCCTAGTGTAGTGGTTTAAAATGTATTTCGTGGTTTGTAGGGGAAATATGTAGCATATATCGCCTACCTGCTATTACGAACATTAATAAATCAGTCTGTCTTCCGAGCCCGCCTTTTATTGACGTATCAACTATGATCCTGTCAAGGTTTGCTAATGGACCTATTGTACCTTTGTGGATGTGCCGCAGCTAATGTTTCCAGTTAATTGCACTGTATTGGTAAAGGCACATGAACTCATAGATGTATATGGTTTTGTGGTGGACTTCAATGGCATTGATAGACAAACAAAGTCATGAATTGCAAATGGCAGCCTGAATACGTGACGTCATTTATGCGTTTAATCGAGAGGAATGTTTATATTTTGTAAGAGTTACAAAGAGCCAAGCTTTAGGAAATATTTTCAATTGATTACGTGACATCCGGTCAAAGACTTCCGTTTTGAATTATGTCTAAACCAAACAATAATTACCAATATTACTCAAAGTACTCAATTACATCAGCTCTTCCTGAATAATTATATTCTATAATTTGTCTAAATCTCCATTTTCAAAGAAGATGGCGCAAGGAAGATTATTTTAGAGGCGTGCGTGTATTAGGTAAAACCTCATTAAATAAATATATGATGACAATGCGAAAACCCATAGATTCTCTAACCAAACTTCCAAAAGTCAGCCTAATAAGACATAATTACTTCATAAATAAACTAATTAATAAACACTTAGTAAATTAATTTAGTATTACAAGGCCAATTGAAATAAGAAGTACTCTATTTTAACACTTTTTAGTACACTTTGGAGACAGAAAATGTCAATACATGTCAGAAGACAGTATTCAAAGTAAATTTAGCGCGATCCCATCTTGTACGCATAAAATATAATGCGTGTAAATATAAAAAATTACGGGTGTGGCGTGTATAAATTTTTTCTTAGTTTATATTTAAGATATTTACATTTGGGTTCGTAAACTACACCCCTATATTCCAGCAAAATCGTCATTTTACAGTGCTTAGACTAAAAGCCTGTAATGTTCCTATTATCCTCTAAAATTTGCGAACGTAAATCCAAATCAAATCCAAATTATTGCTTATAATTGATTTGCTAAACCGCAAAATTGGCTAAAGTAAATTAATTTAGTTCTGTTATTACACCGATATTAGCCTCGGCTCTCAAACGCCGGTGCAACAATAAAATTAAAATCAATTTAATTCATGTATTTTGCTAGTATAATATAATTGTTCTAACACTCATGCCTTCCAATTGCAGTTAAAAGGCATTACACAACGTAGCTCTATTTAATCAGCGTGAGTTGCAATTAATTAATACTTCCTCTCAACGACATCTCTTTTGTTTAAGTTGGGTATTTGGTTATTTTGTACAATGTTGGCCTTGTGCATTAAGCGTGCATCTTTCAAATCTGAGGTTGCCTTGGAATTACGGCTGGGCGCTAATGAAACATCATCATGCCTTAGAAAATCGATGGCGTGTGAATTCAGTATGTGAAGGGGCTGATCACCAACTTGTTAAGATAATTAATTAAACGGGAAACATATTCAGAAAACTCCGACGGCAAGGCGATCTCGCGTATTTGTTTTTTTTACATCTTGTTTGATTAAGATTTAATAATCGCTTTTTAATGTGGATTGGGTTCAATTACTGGGGAATAAAAGATTATGAAGCGATTCAGTAATTACAGTTAACTGCATTGTAGATATTTTCTACTAGCCTTTGCTTTGTCCGACTTTAAAATGCTCGATAATATTCAATTGCAATTGTAAAAGAATTATTGAAATCCGGTTAGAAATGACATAATAAACAACTTAAATATCTATCCTAAATACAAATATTATATAGCGATTTCGATTGTCTAGTGCGTGTGTTAGATGTATTAATATATTCAGATATAAAGACAGAAGATGATTAGTAAACGCTGAATTAAGCCATTCGGTTACGGAACCGTTCCTTAAATAGCGTGTGACGTTCTTAAATAAATATATCATTAATTCATACAAGCAACACAATGTACACTTATGAACGTCAAGAAACAATTAAATGCTTATAAATATAATTTTACTACTTAGAACTAGTAATTTGTCTATAACGGACGAAGGCAGGCATTCAAGTTGAAGTGACCGAAAAAGATCATTTGTATTACAATCAAATCAATAAATTATACTCATAAAAAAAATCAATCAAAAAATATGTCGCGATTTTTTAATGTTTTTACGAATGAAACGCAATAATAATAAAATTAGCGTCACGAAGATGTGCAGCGTTTTTGATTACCTTATAGAAGTTATATTTTTAAAATTAAAATTTCGTAAGGGGATTTATGAAATTTTAGTATTTTATGCAAAATAATTTATTGAAATCTCAAATGACGAATTGTAAAATTAAAATGCCACGTGATTTTATTATTTTAATGACAATTAAATTCATTAAATTCCTAACATATCTTCCATTTTTCCTCCCTCTAAGTCTCGGAAATCTGAAGTTTTAAATTTGTATAAATATGAACAAGACTTAAAAATTAGTTTTCCAAATAAGTTTCACTTCTGACATGTGTACTTTGTACGCACGCACTTTTTTAATGTATTTCCAATCATAGCTCCACCGGCCGTGTACTGATCTGAATGATTCAGGCGTCAAATTATTCGACTCTAAGGAATTGTACCCATAGAAAGGGATTCGTAATTAAATGGATAGATTTCAGGATATTATCTGAAAAATCTAAAATTTGCGCAACTGTGATTATTTTTCTTGTAAATATTAATACGGGAACACTACTTTGCCTGACAGATGTCGACACTTATGTCTAAGCCACGTGTCACGACGTCTACCCTCACAATTACCGCGTTAAATGCCCATATAGATAGAAAAATCCATTCGTATATTGTCGAAATTGAACTCACCCAGTTGTACTGAGAATTTAATATATCCTCTACAAATTGCAATTACAGTCAAAATCTATCGAAACATCTATAGATTTACTGGTGAAATTTGACGTTTTAATGTAAAATGCAATTTCAGAAATATATTGAGGCTTCTGTTTATTTAACAGAATGTTAATTAAACTGTTCTATAAACACTACTGACATACTCAAAGGCCTTTGAAATATGTCAAAGTTAATTAAATATCTGTCCGAATTCAAATATTAAACCAATAAACCAAAAAAATAAGTAATATCAGTCAGTTCGAGACTCAAGTCGCATTGACTTGAGTGTCTCGAAATCCCTTTACTATGACTATTAAGCTAATTGCTAACCGCCCACAACCCTCAACCAATCGGGGAGGCTTCCAGCTCTGCATGATACTATCCCTCTCCTGTTTTCAGGAACTAACGGAACCTGGAAGTTTTTTAAATTTATTATTTAAGTTAGCCTATATAAAAATTACAATTCTAATGTTTAACAACGAAAACAATGTTGTTAAAGATACTCTAGTGAAGAATAATCACAATTCTACTAATTTAGTTAAAACTTTGCAATTAGACTTTTTTTATAAGTTACTAGCGGACCCGACAGTCGTTGTCCTGCATGATATTTCAAGCGATTAGTATATTAAACAAAGTATGATATTACCGACTGCAGCGCCATCTGCTGGGCTGAATTGTCAATTTGACAATATTTGCAGCACGCATTCTGTCAATGTTATGTCAAACGCCATAAGGTTACATCAATGAAGTTTGAATTGTATGGTGGTTAAGTATTCTTAAATTTTCTAATTATCCTGAAAATAACAAATACAACAATTAGCGAAATCGGGCCAGCCGTTCACGCGTGATGCCGTGGCCAAGGGAAATAGGGATTCAATTATATATATATAGATTATTATTATTAAATAATATTTTAGGACAAGTTATCCGTTTTTTAGGTTACCACTAAAAACCGGCAAATCTATATCTATGACATATAGAAACATCGTTTTTTTTCAAGTTCTTATTATTCTCTTCTTAATGAAATAAGTTAATTTTACTAAATAGTTCGATAGATCGCTCTTAAAGTAAATTTTCCTTAAAAATCGTCACCATACAAATTCGTACCTATATTTCTAAAACAACACAAATTGTTATTACAGTTAAAACTTTTAAATATAATGTCTTTTTTATATAATAGGTTCAGTTACCAAATACGGGGCTCTGGGTAGCCAAGCTATGTGTTCATTTGGCATCAGTCTAATAATTGTTTTACAACATTCCAGAAAGTAGTTGTAATCATTGTTATTAATAAAGACACTTTCTTTAATATTAGGTTTTTTTTAATTAAGTAAGGGTATCTTAAATTATTATACAAATATATATAGCATTATATATATCTGTGCCCGGCTAGCTCAGTCGGTAGAGCATGAGACTCTTAATCTCAGGGTCGTGGGTTCGGGCCCCACGTTGGGCGCCATGTTATGGGTTTTTAACATAAATAAAACAAATTAGCATATATTAGGATATATTTATGGGTAACAGTGTTGAATACCACCGCACTTTTTTGACGATACTAATTATTTAGGAGTCTCGGGGGACCTTCATTGGAACACCTCCAAGTGAGTTTTGCTACGGAAACGCGTCTAAATATTAATTTTTTTTTTTTCACCTGGGGAAACCCGATTACGGGGCCCCGCGCCTGGGCAAGTGTGATTAGCGGTGGGAGTGTGGGGATCAAGGTCGTAAAATGCGATGGCCCTCATACCCACTAAAACCACCAGGGCCCAATACATAGCCATAGCACGTGTAGCAAATATTCATATACTAACCTAACCTAACCGATCTAAATAATATTTGTTTTTTTGGACAGCTCCGATCTAAATAATAACTGTTAATTCAAGCCTCCCCAACCCGGCTTCTTGGTCTTCTTCGGCGACCAAATATTCATATACTAACCTAACCTAAGCGATCTAAATAATATTTGTTTTTTTGGACAGCTCCGATCTAAACCAGCCTCAGCCGCTACAGCTTTTATAATGCCTGTGCTTTGTTACAGCGGGTGAGGGCTGCTCTTCCTCCACGCTTCCGATTATTTATATACACTCTAGGGGTAAGACATACTAGACCACGTGGATAGTGGGGTGCTCTGATTCGGTTCTGGGTACTTTTTGGATATTAAAGTAAACACTTTATTCTAGTAAAAATTAAATAATATAGAAAGTTGCAAACAATGAAATACAAGTACTAATTAGGAAATACAGACGAGTAGGTATCGATAATTTCAAAAATTTTCGGAACCCTATAATCTATCAACACGAAATTAGGTTAATTTCAATGTTGATTATTCTATAACTTTAAATTTCAAAAATGAGGAAATAATCGATAAATAAAAAAAACCGATTATTAACAATCGATAAATTAAAAACACGATTTTTTAAAGTGAACGTCACATCTCTTATAACCAATAGAAAAGTAGAAAATGGCGGATTGTTTACAAATTTCAATACATTACACAAAACTTTTTTTTAAATACTTAGACGCGTTTCCGTAGCAAAACTCACTTGAAGGTGTTCCAATGAAGGTCCTCGGAGACTCCTAAATAATTAGTATCGTCAAAAAAGTGCGGTGGTATTGAACACCCAACCCTATTTATGAACTAGCAAAATACAATAACTAAAATATATTAGACTAAATCTTATAATTAACTAAAATATATAAATGTGGGCGCCAGGAGGATTTTGGTTTATCCTGCCAAACCTAATTTATGTGGTAATGTTTATTACATAAACAAATAGTCAATTTGTTATTCAATAAAAGCTAAAACAAATAAAACATTTCAGATTGTTTCACAACCAAAATAAAACTAAACCATATAATAATAATTAAATGAAAAATACCCCTCGAGTTATAAGTATATATATATATAATAAAGACACAATTTATATCTCCAACACGTCCAATCTACGGCAATCACCGTCCGTGTCTGTCGTTTTTGTTTCTACCCTCATCCTATTACACTAGTTACCATATCTCAAAGTATTGAATCGTTTTTGATGAAACTTGGACTGTTTTCCAAGTTGGAAAATAATTATGACTTAAATCAATAAGAATCCGGAGATTACATATACGAAAATCATTACAAATTTTAGCACACATATAAACCTAAATATTATCTAATTACAATTAATGTAAACTGATAAATGGTCGAAGTCAGTTAAAAATTAGAGCGAAGGGAGATAATGTCGTTATAAGTTAGTTAATTTAAAAACTTATTACAGCCCGGATACCACACGAGTTTCAGGTTCAAACTCAAATAGCTGAAATGCAAAGCCATCTTAAATTTTTGGAATCCTTATACAGGGCACGACAGGAGGATATCATTAATTTGGAGGTAAATGAATTTTAATATATGAAGGCAAGTAAGTGGTGAAGGAGGTATTTTGAGTTAGATTATCTATATTTCTTTTCTTATTCATATTTTTTTTTTACTTTTACTTGAATATTCATTATGACAATTTACTGGCATATATATGCAGGCATGTATAGACCACTCGCTTATTGCAATTGTTTTTCAACTTTTATAATTAAATTTTCAATTTTAAAATTCGCAAGTTCTGCGTTTGTCATTATTTTGACAGGTTATTATAACGGAAGGGGAGCCAGGAGTAGGTGATTGACGCAGGCAAACTCTAGGTTTAATATAATTTATTTATTGTACCTGAATGCAACCTTTTTACCTTTTTTAGTTAAAAAGTAACTAAATGTATATTACAGTAATTTATATAATTAGACTGAAGAGCAAAAGCGTATTACGAATATTTCACTGTTTAATTACGGACGACACTAACCTTACGCGACGGCACATTTTGACGTATGTCTAGAACGTAAATATCTATTGGTAAAACACATATTACCACAATTTATTTGTTTCTAAACTGTCGCATTAACCTTTATAATTATTTGATAGAATTACAATCTAAACTAAAACTATCTTTATGGTTGCGATCTATTCCAGTAGAGTAAAATTAGGTAAACGAGTATTACTAACACTGCGCAAAATAATTTTCGTACAATAAAGGCATACACGTGAATTTTAACATCAGTTACATCATTACATCACCCAAAGAAGTCAAAAATGAGAAAATATTAAAACAATCTTAATAGTTCTTTACGACTTGCTTCCCCGGGGCAAGCTATATATAAATAAATAAAGATTAATTAGTTTACGCAGGAGTTTATTATTAAAGGAATCTTTCTCAATTAATAAGTTATGAAAATATTCTTTATTCACCAGCCTAACTTTGTTTACGTCAAACACAACAGTTTAGTTACGTCAAACAGCCTAAGTTTAGTTTACATAAATTTCATCGTATACTTGTAGATCGGGTGTATCGTTGAAACAAACTTTTTAATTTTAAACGTCTAACATTGGGAGTATTGTGTTGAACATAGTTTTGTAACTTGTTTACTGTGCATTGCTTGCTTGGTATTTTAAAATCATTTACATTAACAGTACATAGGGCAGTAGAAATGCACTAGTTTATAAACAACTGGCGACTGCGTTGATCTAACATGCTTATCGTAAACTGGTCCTAGTGAGCGTATCTTGATGTTAAAGATTCGCCGCTGTGCCTTAAAGCATAATTCATTAATATCATGCCATTATGTGTCAGTTTGTCGTCTTGATTTGAATTATTTTTATTTACCTTATATTTTCTAATCATTTTTCTTCGTCAGTATTTCTACAATTATTTAAAAACTTTTTTCCAGCACAAAATTGGAACCACTTCCATCAATGTTTCACAGCGTCCAACTGTTAATGATAACCAAAATACAATAAACTCGGACGTTACAACTCTGCTTAACAACTCGGGTATGGTAAAAGTTGCATTATTTTTATTTTAACCATAAAGTCTGAGCGACTTTATTTTTATTTTTTTTATATAACAGGAGCAAACGGGCAGGAGGCTCACCCGATGTTAAGTGATACCACCGCCCATAGACACTCACATTTCCAGAAGGCTCGCAAGAGCGTTGCCGGCATTTTAAAAATTGGTACTGTTTTCTTCACGGACCCTAAGTCGCATTGGTTCAGAAATACTTCAGTGGGCATAAGGTTCGACATAGTGGTGGTGCGCGGCAAACTGCCTTTAAAAACGCTCAGTTGTGGAACGACGGACGTCAAGGTGATACGGGTATTTCCTATTCTACCTTGACGTACGATTATGTAACTCAGCTGCAAGTATAAATTAATCCGAACAACTCCTCTGAATACTTTCTGTGGTAAAGATGGTCACCGAAGGGAGGAGTAGCGACAAATGGTGTTTTTTTAGCGAAGAACGCTAAAACTTGTGTCTTCTTGGGGTGACTTTGGACTAGATTTAGTCGACCCCAATCCATGCATCCATGAAGCAAAGTTTCGACTTCAACAACAAGTTCCGATACTGATCGACAGCTTCCCCAGAAATACATGCACGGCCAGTGTAAAGAGTATTCCCTGTGCTGTCGTCTCATGATATATTTGCAACATATCATTGATATGCAGAAGATACAGGGTCGGGGATAAGACACAGCCTTGTGTGACCCTAGCGTTCACGGGATTGAGGTTTCAACATGCTCCGTCGATGCCGACCTTCCATCTGCGAGAACGCAGGAAATCCAGTAGCATATTTTGCTACTGGAAGCTGGGCTCCCCGAGAAAATATGCCACACCCGTTCGAAAGCTTTCGTTATGTCCAAACTGACCACCAGCGCCAACTGAATTGTTTCTGGCTAAGGTAATCGAGAGGGACACCAGCTGGACCATCACGACGAAAGCCGTACTGACAATCGCTAATCAGCTGGTGGCCCTTAATATATCTCAGTAGCTGGCTGTTAATAATGGTTTCCATTATTTTGGAGAACAGGGAGGTTATAGCTATTAGGCGATAGTTTGACGGATCAGAGCGATCGCCTTTTTTTTAGGGATCGGATATATTGAAGCTTAGTTATATATGTATATACCAGCCCGTTCCTTGGCTAGACCAATAAGCAGATGTAGTTAATTAAATGAATACTTCTCTCTTTTCTTATTCAGTCTTTAATCAGCCTAATTGCACTCTTTTAACATTCATTCATAACACCTAAGTATTGATTAGTCTTTTTTTATGAAATTGCGTCAATGCTAGAGAGTACAATGTACACTGTACACTGTACATACTTAAAACTGCAATAGGACTGATATATTTTTTTGGGGATATTGTATATGAAAATGTATTCTGAAATTCCAAGTACGGCACAAATTGAATATAGTTCTAATGGGACACATATTGCGATATAAATGATTGACAACCAATCTAGAGTTCTACTTATTTTGATTTGTTAGCGTTCTGTTTAACTGGCCCGCTCTAGTACCACTGAATTTAATACTGCTATTCTACAATTCAACATTCAGTCTCTGTGTAACTACCCTTAACCGACTTTAACGGAGAAAGCTGATACACACGAACAGCACAGAATGTAACATTACCCGAAACAAATTCGTCCGTGCGGACATCAGTTAAACTCCGTTTTACACGATTTATCAACAGCCCACGCTACTTGTAATGAATCAACTGTAATGACGATTTCGACAGCGACAAGAAACAATCCCACAGATCCCATGGGATCAGTGAGCTTCAGTTCAGTTCAGTCTGAATTATCAAAATATTAAATCCAAGAGACCCACGATTTATTTTTCTCATCTGACGCGTGTTTCTGGTTCACGATAATAAATGTGTCGCTGTTAATGACGGGATTGGGAAGACTGGGTGATGCTTGCAGATAGTTGTTTAGAACATACCCCTTACCGATAAACGCCTCGCGATAAAGCGTTTAAAAACTATATTTAACCAATAAATCGAATTAGTGTTGAAAGGTATGTCCGATTGGTTGTGTGAATGAACGATGGTGTAATTTCCCTCTTATCTAAAAGGATGATCCTCGAACAAACACTGACCGTGGCTGTGACAACCCAGTGGCTAAAGTCACGAAGTTTTATCTTTCACGGTCGGAATATCTTGGTTAGCGCGTTTCGGAGTATGACATCATCATACGATTTGTAGCCGGAAATTGAAGGTATCATTTCAGATGACTAAAGCAATAACGTATATAATATATATGTTAGGGAATGTGAAAAATAAGTGTGTCAATTGATACGATACGATTTTATCGGTTTGAAGGTTTATAAACGTTATCGATAGCGGTTCGGTTGAGAGGTGCTTAGGATTACGTAATTAATTATATTTAGCCATTTTATAGGAATTTTTGGCTTTTAGCTGTAAATAAGTTGAATCATGTTTATTATCGGATGATAAAAGATATGGATATATCTTCTTAATGATAATTATGATAAGATACACAAAAGTGTCTAATTCTAAATTGTACCCGTAAGATAAGCTTAGATTAAAATAATTCCCCGTATCCTTAGCTATTATTAGTAAATACTTATCCAGTGTTTTTTTTATATATCGTTAAGATTTACAATAACTTTTAAAAATAAGTTATAATATTCCAAGCAGTATAGGTCGCACAACATCCTCACATGGTATTCCCATGTAATGGACAGGAAAAACACAGGTAACTTTTAAGGTAAAATTTATAAATGCACTATTATTTAAAATGCTAATGTACATATAATACGATTTAAAATACACACCACGCGCAGATAGTATGTTGATGACATCATGTTGTTAAGCAATAAAATAATTTCCCTTAATCCAATGAAGGAAAAGAGCCGGAAATTCTTAATTGAAACAGATAAAAGGCCGTAGTACAATTTTACGATAGTTCCGTCAACTTTTCGTATGTACGATATAAACGTGTTCGAACGATGTTCCTGCTTTCATTTTGTTCCAAATACTTAGACTTTGTATGGAAAACGCACTAGCGTTACAATACAAAGTCTTTCGTTACTTTTCGTTTCTTACAACTTTAGAGATAGCTTTGAATGTAAGTAGTAGTTCGTTCTATGGCATCTAGTATCGGAGTCAGCGACAAACATTCTGCGCGACTACAGTTACTAATTACATACAATATTTGCTACACAATATCCAATTCCAACAATTCACTATGCAAGTAATCACATTGTTTTACAACACTTTGGACTTTGTTTAACCACATAAATCTTCGTCATTATAAAACCCATTTCTAACTATCATTTTATTAATTTTGTCCACAGACACCACGATCTCACTAGCATTGCGCACCCAAGAACTAGCCTCGATGAAATCAGTATTCGTTTTCCAACTTCTGCCTTATCTGATGAATGATCCTGCAAGTCTACGTCCAGCCTTCCACATGCAGGCGAACCGTGGATTTGTGAAAAATGTAATAGGAATACCAACTGTAAAGCGAGATAAGGAGTCATACCTTATGGTCACCTTGACGGTAAGTCTTTTGTTTTTTGTGTTTCCCTTAGCGATCAAGTAAAGATATGCAATAGGCAACGCACGTGTGCCTTCCTCGTAGGTGTCCATCAGCGGCGCCTACCTCTTAATTCTTAGGCACCCGTCTGTAACCCTTATCCCATGAAAAAACAGTAAAAAAACCACTACCAGCGCACCCTGTCCTGTGCAACCTCCCGCTAATTGCTAGGTTCCAGCTGTAGCAGATCCTGCTTCACCCTGTCGATCCAGGTGATCCTGAGGGTCCTGGTACCCGACCACTATGCCGGCTTAGGTAGGCTTCATTTACTGCCCAATCTTGGTCCAAGCGCTCAAATTGCCCCAACATAGTCGAACGTATTCGTTGTATTATCCTAAGATTTACGATAATTATCGCCTAAGACAAGATTACAAACCTGCAATTTCATAATTGATTAACAATACAGGGAATAAATTCTGCCAGCATTAAAGTTACACTGCCACAGGGTACAGACTTTTTAAAATTGTTTTAATTTTCTGTTTATTAAATAAACAACTTAAACGGCATTATTTGTTCTTCTTAAGCTCCATGGGGTGGGTGACGAGTTCGATTCTGGTGGAATGAAAGAAAAACAATGGATAGAATATAAATTTACATTGTATTTGAATGTTGGTTGGGTTTACCGCTATTTTTAATTCATTTAATTATACGACTCTAATCACTACAATATCACTCCATAATTTAATTATTATAGGCTACTTAAGTTAATTATTCTTATAAAAATCTGAAAATTATACTGTCCCAGATGCGTATTAAATGCTGAAAGCTTTGAACGCGATAGTGTGAAGTATGACTCAAGCTTTAAAGAGAGTCTGGCAATATTGTTAAGGTTAATAAGATTGAAGTACGTATTGTATAAACTCGTTATAAGCTATTTATAGCGATCCTTATGAAAACAATTCAATTGAAGTAAATAATAATCATTAAAATTAAGCCTCTTTTATTCCTGGAAACATTTACAAAATATACACACATTTAAAATAAATAAATTGTATATATAATTGTTTTTAAAAACCCTCTTATAAGTTTAGCCCTCCAATTGGCTCCATCTCTCCCTTTCTTAAGCTCGTCGGCCCACCGTGCAAGAGGGCGTCCACTCCTTTCTTTTTCCTGGTGGTCGTTTCTACTTTGTTTTTGTAGATATTCAAACCAATTTAAACAGAAGAGAATATTAAGACTACAAAATATATTTAAAAGAAAATAAATAATAATCAAATATTTGTGACAGTAATCTGTAGTGAGGACCGCAGAGGCTCCATTTTTTCCAACATTGTTAGTTATTAAATAAACTTCTTTATAATTACCGCTTATAATACATGGAAAAAACAGGAGACACAGTACGATTTACACATTTATAAGTCCACTTATTCCGTCCATCACATCTTTTGAATAAATTCAATAAACCACTATTACGGTACTGGGGCGTCATGTTAAGTAGATCCCAACTTAACTGCTGCTGAGGCAGACATCTTTGAATAATAGTTTAAAATACATGTCGTTCCTCAGCATTTAATCGCGGGCTTGAATGACGAAGACTTAGAAGACACATTGATTGTAATCTTCGTGGGCGACACCGACATCCAATACGTCATGAATATTGCTAATGAAATCAAGGGAAAGTGAGTACAGATTTGAGTAGTTTGTAGTATTTTATTTAATACATAGGTTCACCAGGACTTCTTCACAACTTATTTCCCAATCACGCAACCTAATAAAATTAAAATTATGGGCAATACAAAGGTACATTAGAAACAGACCACTAAAGTACGAACTGTATATTCTTACATTTTTTTTATTTCAAACTCAAAATAACTTTATTCATACAGGTAAACAAATACACTTACGAACGTCAGAAAAGAAGTTAAATAAATTGAAATTTACATTTACTACCAGTTCAGTCAAGGCGTATAGCGGGCAAGAAGAACTGGCAAAAAACTTTCCGCCACTCTTTTTAATCCCTGAAGCTTTGAGTCATACAAATTGTTTGAACTGAAGCAAATCAATCCCAAGGATTAGGATCATTAAAATATTCGTAAAATTTATGAAAAGCTTTATTGATTAATTTACGTTTAACGAGGGTTTTGAATTTATTTAGTGATAATTCTCTAATTTCGCTTGGGAGTTTGTTGTAAAAACGAATACAATTTCTATATAAGGAGTTGTTTATCTTCTGGAGCCTGGTTGGTCGTACACTCAAATTGATTCTGTTTCGCGTATTATACTGGTGAAAGTCACCATTTGTTTTAAAATCGTTTATATTTTTTTGTACATACAACAAGGCATCAAGAATATATTGACCAGATTTCTATCTGATTTCAAACAAAAAATTCATATAGATTTCTCTTTTTCCCTTATTTCATGACAGTTAAAAAACATTAACATATTATATGCATGGCCTGTTAAATGTATGCGTTTGAATTGGACTCACGTGGGTGAAGTCGCCCTGAAGAAATAAAAAGTCCAGTAAGACTAACCAACTCTTCACATATATGTAGTATTAACTTTAGGTTTTTGTCAGCAAATAATAATAAGCTTTAAAACTGTATATTTAAAGTAACATCTCGTTATGTTCGTCTGGTTCCAATCACATCTGGTTTTTATTGATCGATTTGTTCATATTTACAATGTATTAAAGTAAGAAAATCGCGGAAAAGTGTATTTAACTAAAACAATAGAACAATTATTTGAATACTCAGCCCAATCGCGGATTTTAGCTTACATGACACACAGACGCTTTAAGGGTGGCTTTTAAAAATGGTTGGGTAATAACACGCATGACGATGATCACACAAATTCGATTGGTCAGGTCACTCCAGTCGCAAGCTGTTTCTGGCTCAAGCCCAAGGTGTGTTAAACGCGTAGTGCGTTAGTGTTGCAAGCGCAAAATATTTCGGATTTACGGGACTAAAATTATGAATACTTTTTAGGAACGAGAACACTGTGATTCAATTTTACCTTAATATATTTGAATAAACATTTTGTATCTAACCTATGTTATAAAGTTTAAGAATTGAATCGCCCTTAGGACCCAACTATTGGATAGTAGTTGAATAGTATATAAAGCGTCGGGTAAAATTATTATACTTTATAAAGAATACAAAAAAGATTGTTGCTTCAGTTACCTGCGTGTTGTAATTCAATTATATCAATACATGATATGTAATAATCATATAACTGATAATAGACGTTATCATGTATATGTTGGTTATTGGGACAAAATGTACAACAATGAATAATATTCTCCAAGCAGAGTTATATTATTATTGAGACTTATCATGTATGTAGATATTTATTATTATATACTATTCTTTTCTATTTCCATACTACGATAGGACGGGGGTTTTCAAACACCACAAACCTCCCAACTTAATAACTTTAAGCCACTTTAAACTCAAAGAATTTTTCCTAAAAAGCGTAATGACGTTTAAACGCTAAGCACGAATGAGCCAGTATATAATTCTACCTTTTTTTTAGAAGTATGTACAGCATTAAATTTTGTTTTAAGTAGCAGCTCTTCCATAGCAAACTTAACACTAAATTGTACTCACAATATTAAGATTTTTACGAAAACCAATTCTCAACAATAACAATACAAATTTAACTTTTTACAATAGTGTACACCGCATTATCGCGTGGCGTAACGCGCCGCATTGCATGAATATGTGGATACAAGTGTGTGTGAATGTAAAGCTATAGGTTAGGTTTGAGTAATATCTCCAATTCAAACTCAAACACAACATGTAAGCATGTTATAGTGAGAGTCTTATTTACATAGATTTCCGCAACACGTCGAAAGTGGGCTCATCGAGCTGCTGTCACCAAGTGCCGCATATTACCCTGATTTTGAATCAATTCCGTTGAGCCTTGGCGATTCGGCTAAGCGCGTCAAATGGAGGACAAAGCAAAATTTGGATACACTCTATCTAATGGCGTATGGCCAATCCCGTGGTACATATTATCTGATGCTTGAAGATGATGTTAAAGCGAAGAAATCGTTTATGAAGGTTTGTGAAAATTATAAATGTACATTTAATTTAAATAAGCAAAAAATACTTATGTAATTGCTTATGTTTATTAGTAAAATTTACTGTGAGCAGGATTAGGTATGAAACCAAAATCTTATCTAATCGTTCAAATAAAAGGTAAAAATTCGGTAAAAACGTATCAATATTCTAGAATTATATTGACAAGTTTCTTAATTAGCAAGTATTAAAAAAAAACAATTTAACAGCCATATCTAATATTTGAACAACAATTATTAACGTTCGAGAGCGTTTTTTTTTAATTATCATACAATACTTAATTAGTTGCTTCTAGCTTGTGCGAATTATTTTAATATATAATCAATGTGTTTCGGACCGTCTTGGCCACATCGACTATCTTGACACTTGCGAAAGAGATTTAAAATAAATGGTGGTGTAAAGCTGGCTTACGGCTTACGCTTTCAACTTAAGGCATTAAAACCTCGTAATTTTTCCTCCGGGAGCCGATCCCGGTCACTCAGGCAACCAAACTTGCCAGCCACTGCACCAATGAAGTAGTGTAATAGAGAAAATACTTCTGTCTTGCGCACAAGCGCTCACATCCTATTGCTTCTTTGCCGACACCGATTATATTCAAATAAATATGCCTTGGCTTATGTATAAGACTGAACTTTTCGAGCAGTGTTGTCCCAGTGACATGGGCGCGCGACTCTCATCCCCTGAGGTAACATGTTCGAACCCCGGGTTGATCTAATCCTATTTCAATACAATCTCAATGGCATGTTTGGTATGAAATGGGAATTAAAATAATGTTAGATTAACAAGTACTAATAAGAGAATAGAATTAGAGAAGTATTTGACTCTTCTATCATAAATTCCTGGTAAACACCATATTGTTCGATTGGCTTTCTATCTATGTGCGCATTCAACCCTCATACGGTATTAAATATCGTGAGGAATCCGGAATACCTTAGACTCTAGTCAACGGCTAGAAAAAACAAATGATCACGAATCGTATACAGCAATCTAACTCCAAGGCAAAAGCGCGCCAATTGTATTTTTGTTACAGGATATAAAACAATTTACGGCAAGTACATCTGTCTCGGTGCCCAATTGGTTTTTTATAGAATACTGTTCTGTTGGTGGCATTGGGAAGCTGTTCAAATCCTCTGATCTCGTACATTTTATCACCTACGTGCAGCTCTTTTATTACAATATGCCCATTGATTGGCTACTTGAGAGCTACTTGGCTGATCGCGTGTGCGCTATTGACAAGACAAGTGTAAGTATATTCTAAAATTAAATTAGGTTAGAAAATCGAAGTTTGATAAAATAATTTATATAATCCTCGACTGGGAAGGGGCTAAAATGTGAGCTTCTTCAAATATCTAATATTGATAATCCAAAAATATGATTTTCAGTTATAAATATTTATTTAGTATAAACATAGTATAAGAAAAAAAAATTGTGATCTTTTCTCTTGTTTATTAGAGTCTGTTTTAAATTTTCCTTTTTGAGTTTAATTTCAACGAATTTCGTTGAATTATGTCTGTTACGTAAATTTTTGACCATTTTATGAGAATTTTCGTTCGTGTCCCTCGGATGATATATAAACAGGGAGGCTGCGGTATATCGTTATTATTTAATTATAACGTGTTATATTTAATTTGTACATATCTTTAAGAAACAGTGTTGACTAATAGCTTATATTATTGACCTTCATTACCTCTATCAAATGGCTAAGACCGATTTTTTAAAACCCCAATAGAGAAGTTTTATTCAACGTGTAATTCTAGTTATTCTTTTACGTTCTAGAAACAATGTGGGGATAGCAAAATTCTAATCCGCCCCAAGTACAAGGAGTCTCTCTTTGAACACCTTGGGTTTTTTTCTTCTCTGAAAGGAAAGATTCAAAAAGTCAAGGTAGGTACTATCTAGTTGTTCAGGCCACGGTTACCTATATTATTGAACTTTGTGGATTTTTGTTCTATCTAGGCGAATAATGTATCAAAATCAAGACGGGTTTGCTTTAGTAACATAGTTCCCCTAATTATATTTTTTAGCATGTATTTAATAACGATTATTTGGAGTAAGAACAGTGTTGGCTTAGTGGAGCGATGAACTCTTAACACTGAGTTATGCGTAATTAACAGCATGTCATAGATCCAAAAATCGATCACATATGTTGGGCACGAAAGACGAATATAAAAATACGTTAAAATTTTAAATGTAATGCACTTCAGCTATATTTGCAACTCTATTGGATCATCAATATTTTTGTCAACTACAGGACCACGAAATCACCGGCGTTTTACCTAACCACTTCCCACACCAGAATCCACCTGCTCGTGAAGTGAAAACGGACATCGAAGTTCACGATAACTATCATATCATCAATGCCTACAATGGAGATACTTACTTTTGGGGTGTTACTCCGAAGGCGGGAGCTTTAATCGAGTTCTGGTTCGCTAAACCAACAGACGTTATAGGGTAAGTTATAAAAATTGATAACATAATACATAAAAAATACAACAACTAAAATTAAAAAAAATAATAGTACGCCGGCGAGCGAACCGTTTATTTAGAACGATACGCAGCGCCTACAAAACTAAGAAATTCCACCTTCACTATCAATTAGCGTCACAAAACGTTTCAGTGTCCTTATTTATTTATAAGTTATACTAACAATAACAGTAAATATTACACTAAATTACAACAAGCATACATGAATCATTACAAATACAGATAAAAATAAACGTTTATAATATATTGTTACCAAATTATCCATAATTTTGAATAATACATTTCAGATACACGTTCCGCACCGGCAACGGCCTGCATCCGACTGACATATTGAAGGACGGTGTAGTTGAAATCTACCCTCACGACAAACGAGAATTTACTACGATTGACGCTTTCGACGAATTCGGTCTTGCTGAGGGCGCGATTAAACCTGAATATGCCCCCCTCGATGCAATCCGTATCCGTGTTACCAAGACTTTGTCTCGCTGGCTCGTTCTTAGCGAGGTAGGTTCATAAGATTTTGAGTGCGGCTAAAACCTATGTGCTATGCGAAAGAATTCAATACAATGCTATTTGCTATTTACATTTTTTGCTTTGCGTCAATGCGAATTAAGCTAATATTTCGGCATAGTGCCTACATAGTCTGCATCCTGGATTCAATTCTAGGTGAAATGAAAACTGTTTTGGTTTGAAGGTTGAGCATTACCTTCCTAAAGAAATGTGTGGGAAAGACGATAAAAATATTTCAATGAAGTGTTTTTTTAGATTTTTTCTTGCGTGGACTGTGTCACTTAAGTTACAAATTGACTTGACTTTCACTAAGAGATAAGATGAAAAAAAAAGGGTGCGTGTACTTATGTACGCGCGTAAGAAGTTATACTTCTTTGGCATTATTAAAAATAGTTTTTGATTGCATGCAAATAATTAATTACAATTAAATAATCAAAGACTGGAAAAGGAGTCATTATAGTCAATAAAGTTCAGTTTACATTTGAATAATTAAATAAATAAATATTTATTATTATTAATGTAACATAAATTCTATTATTATTCGAATGTTGTTTTTAAATTATGTCTAATGCCGCATCTTCCGTGGGCAACTTCATTCTGTTAATTTTGTGTCACGGTGCGCGCGCATCGTTAAATTTCACTCTCATTAATTTTTCATAACGCGCCTAAAGAAGTATAACTTCAAAAATCTATACCTAATATTAATAGCTGGGCGTAAAGTCGTTGATTATATTACTAAAGTTAACCTTTAAGGAAAATATTACCATAAACAGAATTTCGCAGAGTTTAAAATTCAGCGCAAGCGTCATATTTTGTCCCTTTTCAGATTGACCTGAAGACGGCTAACAAGACAGTTGAGGACTGACGCCCAAGCTATGTGCACGCCCCACGCAGTCCACACGCCCCAGTTGCCAGAGACGCGTACAAGATATACATAAATCATCCCATTCTTCAACGTTAAATCCAACGAAAAAGTCTTGAAATATTTTCATTTTGTATTTTTCGAGTTTAGAAATGTATTTTTAATAACTTGTTTAGTTTTGGTTGCAATTTGTTTCCAATTAGGTAGAAAATTTTCCCGTATTTTAATTTATTTAAAGGCGTAATTGTGAAAATGTTTGGATTTCTGATACCTTAGAAATGGTTTCGTTCATTTCGTACTTAATATATTTTGTGTATCTTTTTCAAATTTATTACAACGACAAGGCAAGTTAACGGCAACGAATAATGCAAAGCGAAATTTTTACCTTTTTTTGTATTGCGATCAGTTCCCATATTAGGGAATCCGTCAGTAAGATCCAATGACGAAAAGTAATTGATTTTTTAAATTTTGTTAATGTTGATTTGTCATGTGGTTTATATATTCAAATTATTTTTTATACTATTTTGTAAGTATTATTATTGTATATTTTGTTTAATTACTTATTTTAATGTTCAAGTTTAAATTTAACTATTTTTTACATAAACATCATAATGCCTCAAAGAAACAGCAAAACATTGTTTAAACCAACGCTCCATACAAGCGGCAAAATGCACTTAATTAAATAACTTAACGTAATTATCGACAATCGCATGAACTTTGCTAGATATGAGGTTTCTTTGAGAAGAACACTTGAATTAATGGACCCATTCTGAGAGCAGATTAATACGGGAGTAGCGGTGTTTTAGGGTTTTGTCTTCCGGTACATCCTGATACGACCTAAGTGTTGATCTCATACAAGAACAGTAACGTTACGTACACCCCGTTAACGTCGAAAGAATACGATTTCCCTTTGACGTTTCCTTCACATCCCTATAAATCCAGGAAACGGGCAGTCGCTACAGTTTTTACTGTAATTATATTACGGAAGACAAAATTTCATTTAGAATAAGATATTAACCAAAGTTAATTGCATTAAAGTGTACCAATGTTTCGACATTGTAAGTGTTAGTATAGTAAAAAAAAAATCCACGGTTCACACGATTTTTTAATAAAAAATCTTTACTTATTTTATTTGTAATTTTTTTATCTTTTTTCTATGCACAGATCTTGTGTATTTTTTGTTTAATTTTATATAATATGTCTGCGCTTAAACCTGGTTCCCCTTTTCGGATCGTTGTTTTAAGATCTGAGATTCTATATTAAAATGACAGCTGTTCTCTCGTTGGGAGAAATTCTCTTCTGGTCGTAAATCTCGTCCAGAATTCGGGTCACGGTAGAGGTGGTATTTTTATGATTGACCGTATACGCAAGTTTGTGTTATTTATTAAATATCCTGATTGAGATCATTATTGTAAAGAATTTGTAAATTACATTCCATGCAATTTCGTAACATCAATAAAAAATTGTAATAAAGCCAGACTATCCAGGCTTCTGGGAGCCCCTGGGGAGATTCGCCCATCGAGACCATTCAAATACTCTTTCAGTCTATCTACAGACATCGTTAGACCTGGTGATGCCTCAGCGAGTTTGTACAGCCGCCATAGTTTCTTCTATTTCGTGAACTGTGGGTTACAAAAAAATAGTTGTTGTCATTCGATGTTTAATCTTCTTTAATCGATCTTAGTGTAATTTTTGAACTCGATACCTCGGTCTGAACTGAGGGTTACGATAAAATAGTTGTTGTCATTCGATGTTTAATCTTCTCTAATCGATCTTAGTGTAATTTTTGAACTCGATACCTCGGTCTGAACTGAGGGTTACGATAAAATAGTTGTTGTCATTCGATGTTTAATCTTCTTTCATCGATCTTAGTGTAATTTTTGAACTCGATACCTCGGTCTGAACTGAGGGTTACGATAAAATAGTTGTTGTCATTCGATGTTATTAATCTTAGTGTAATTTTTGAAGTCGATACCTCGGTCTGCTCAATTGTCTAAAGACTAACAATAAATCCGGACCATCGAAAAATCTATTTTTTGGAATATTATGTAAACATTCAGTGATATAAATTCGTGAAAACTGAAATTAAATTTCACTTAAAAAAGGCTCAAAACTTAAAGAAGGCTCAGAACTTGAAGTAGGTCTAGTTTGAAAATAGAATTCAGATGTATCGATTTCAAAATCCTTGCTTAATCAATTAAATGACTAGCCAGTGTTGTACAAATGTATGGTAGTAATATAGGTTGTGTCGACGGACTGATGTAAGAGACTGACGGTGAGGTATTTGACGCGGGCCATGTCGGTTACCATATACGGTAAATATAGTTAAAAACGAACAATTAATATTAAATTCCGTAAGGGAAATTTGTGTATGAGCTTAAAAAATTAAAAGTCGCTCATTGAATTTCTAAATATACTAACAGTCCCGGAGGGACATTTTTCGGTCAATATTAAAATGTATTTTAGATTTCGTATTAGAATTATTTAGATATTTACAGGGAGTGTGTGTTCGAGAGTCGAATTTGTATACACTAGTTAATCATTTAAGATGTAGCCAAAGTTGTTAGTCGTCTAATTGTGACTTATGTATTGATGTTATTAGGAATAAGCTTCTTTTCTGCTTTTCTATGCCTACATTTATGATTAAATTCGGGGAAGAATATAGAAAAGGCTGGGTAAAGACTTATATAACCGAAGACTACACCAACCAGTCATTAACAACAAGAATGCTAATTGCATCGCATGCAAGTCGAAAAGAATACATTCGAAAAACAACGATGCCCCAAAGCCTAAAGTTGAAGGTAAATCAACTAACAATGTTCAAATACCCCGATGTTATGGCTTTAAGAAAATGTGTTTTGGTGTTCCATGGTTCCTTGATATCAAATACAAAATCAACGAAATTTTGCTCTACTATGGTAAAAATTAGAAGGCTATCACTTATTTTGGTCTTCTTATCATTTAAGGGAGCGTTCATGTTTTGCGTAACGGATTGTGGTTCGACTTTCGTGGGGGGTTTGAACTAAGCGATTCATAAGATTGTTTTAAATAAGGGAAGATTAAAAGAAGAACAAAGGTATTCTAGAGGCTTTAGGACTTTAGGCCACATAATTGTGACTTTTTAAAAATGGTCACTTGGTGGTAACGTAACGTTTTACTAAGGGAAGGGGTGGGTACAGAAAACGTTACAGCGCGTAAAATCTCCAAAAGTTGCGTACGATCGCTCCCTAACATCTAGTTCCAATCGCTATAAACAGGCCATTTAAAACTCAAAACTCTTTGTATAATGGTAAAGTTGTTATTAATCATATTTGCGTATTAACTAGCAAATTTAATTAATACGTGGTGTTCCCTTTATACAAAGATCGGGTATAAATTCAGTTCTATTTCGGATAGGCGATATCATGGAACCCGCGTTATACGTATATTATTTTCTTTAATACCACCCCTGTACGAATTAACATTTTTTAAACTGCAATGTGGAATTGAATACGGTATTAAAGAAAATAATATATAATCCGCGTGTAACCGGACCATGTAATACCTTAACACATACTATGTTTAAATTCGCCTTCTGCTTATGCGCTGTGTAAATTGTTAATGTCTTATTTCCAAAACTGTACGCATATTGCATCACCTAATCGCGGTAAGCCGGAGTTCATAAACTCGTAGAACAACTTTCACAAATTTTAGTCCTGATCCACAACTTTCCCAGACTTATTAACTCTGAGAGGTTTATTATTTTTTATCAAACGTTTATATTTGTTAAATAAAGCACGTCGATCTATAAGAATTGCGCTCTGAGAATAGATGCTGGTACAACGACTTATAACCAAAGACGATGATTTGCATTTAGTTTAGCAATTTAGTGCAATTTATTTTTAATTACAATAGTACGTTTTAAGAGACATCCTATACAGTTTTATTTTTGTAATCTATAATACTTATACATTTTTGAAGACTTTATGTACCTATCTATAGTTTTACCTAAGGAAAGTCTAGTTTGTAATTTAAAATAACGATCGAATCGTTATATTATTTAAGTGTTATTTTGTAATCTGCCATTCTATGTTAAGGACATTGTATTCATATAAAATTTAAATATCCGCACAAGTACACCCTGATATTATTTTTCTAATATGTTACAAAAAAAATACTAAAGCTGAAAACAATGTTGAGACGAACGAATTAATTAAAAAATACTTGTACGGATATTAATATGCGCGCGATACATTTTTCCTACTTAACTATTTTCCAACTATTCATCTCGCTACCAACGCTGTTCCTGTCTTAGCAATTAAAAATGTAGTTAAATGTGTATCGATGTTCAATTATGTACTGGATGTAAAAAAAAACTTGTTTTATTTACTACCCCTGATAAATTTAAGCAGTAGCTCAAACAATTTCACCACTTAAATAGGGTCAAAACATACATGACCATTCTGGTGCCATAATAGATTCTCTCTCTCATATATCGAATTAATTACTTTTTGTCAGCCTTCTAGTTAGAATAACAGTTTTGTTAGAGTAGTTTCGGTTTTAGCCAGTCACACGAACCCCAGAGATCGGGCTTTTACTTTAGATGTACGGTTCCTTTGCTTGTACGATGAACTAAACATGTTTTAGACCCAAAAACAACGACTACGTCTAACAGGTTCAGCTACACATGCACTTAATAAAATAATCAAGGAATGTGACAAGCGTTATAAAGCTGGACCATTACTACATATTCAATGAGATTATGTTAGTTTTTGACAGCATATTGTCCGTCACAGTCATTAAATAATTGGCTACCGGATCTGAGACAATACAAAAATGTCGACGTGTGGCTGTTTAAAATGTTATTTTATGCATGAATTTCGAAAAAATATAGCCATTTTAATGTGTGCAGGACAGTCCCTTCTGTAGAGGCTGTTAGCGCAGAGGAATCAATCACCCACGTAGTCCTGGAATGCGAATGTGCCTTCCAACGAACAGAAATCCTCGGAGCAGTTAGGTCGCTC